AAGTTCTGAAAATTTTTATAATTATTCAAGACAATTATGCATTCCAATCAATTTTTAAATCAAAAAGACAAAACCTAATTCATGTAATTTCTCAAATCTTTCACAAAACAAGCCTAAGTATGCATTCTTTTTTTTTTTGGTTTTCACTTAAAATTCTTGACATTAAATATTAGCCACAAGTAATGAGGGGGGCGATGGATTTTAATTAAGTCTTTACATCTTAATATAAATATGTCCTACAAAGTAGTTTCCAAAGTAACATTCAACGACATTAAAAAGTTATCAGTAAAAAGAAAAAATGTGCCTTTGCTAAGCATAGTATTTTAAGACATCTCCTACCATACAGTAATCTGAGATTATTTAGAAAGGAATATCCTATTGATATTGTGCCAAGGGAAATTATCTGAGAAAGCTGGTACATTCTGCTACCAAAGGGCTGAGTTACACTAGAGTCATAAGACCCATCTGAGCTGTGTACCTTTGGAAAATCATTTAACCTCTTGAAAGCTAAATTTCTTCTTCGGTAAGATAGAGTTACCACTGCCTCCAAATAGTTATTCAGAGGATTACGGTTAGTTATAATTTACAGGGTTTTTTAATCAACATTGTTTAGTAATAAAATCAATTTATTTAGTCCTCAGATGGATCAAATTGTTTCAAACTAAAAAGTTTCAGATATTAAATCAAAAATCACATTCTAGCGCACATCTCAGAATTCTGCCTATTTCTTTAAAATATATATATTTAAACATACTATCATACTATAGATCAGAGGCTGGCAAACTACAGCCCATGGGACAAATCTAGCTGGTAGGCTGTTTTTGTAAATCAAGATTTATTGGAACACAGCCATGCTCATTGTATAATGTATTAGCTATGGCTGCTTTTGCACTACAACACCAAAGTTGAGTACTTGTGACAGAAACCATACAGCTAACAAAGCCAAAAATATTTACTGTTAGCTCTTACAAAAAAAGTATGCTGACCCCTGTTTATAATTATTGTTAGTTGAATTGGGTAGTATATCCAAAAGGGATTAGGGCAAGAAAGAAAATCAAAAAATATTAAAATATACACCTAAATTGAATGCCCCATAATGCCATTCTAAAATCCTAAAACTCTACCTAATTGCAATCAGAACTAAAATATGAAGATTTAGGTTATATAAAATTTAAAAACAACAGAGATGCATATTAATAATTTAGAGTAACAAAGTACACCTTATTACTTAAAATTAATTCAAGCCAATTATTATTTCAGTTATAAATAGTACTTTTATCTGCTTTATACAAATTATGTTTTTACCTGCTAATGGCTTGTTCCTCATCAGTTATTCCAGTCTCCCTGAATGCCCTGTTTGATTCCGCCAAACTCAAGGCAATTGCTCTCTGAAGATCATCTTTATCATCTCCAGTGAGATCAATCACATCTGAAAAGCAAAACTATCTTTCTCAAAATTAAAAGTCAAACAAAATGAAAGGTAATTCTTATCATGGAGATTTTATACTCAATATACCTTTTCAAACCAAAGTCAGCACTAACTTTAATTTTGTATTTCTTTTATAAGAGCCTATCTAAAAAGAATGTAAACACATTTTTAATTGTTTATACTTGGCAACTCAATGTTCTTTTCCATAAAATATACCTAAAGCAGTAAGAGCAGATATATTTTTCGTTGCAGAGGAATCTCCATATTACCATGAGGTCTCTTATGAATAGCTAATAAGAAGATTGCTGAGAACAGTTTGTCAACAAAAACTGAAATCAACATAATTAAACATTTATATTTATGCATTATGAAGTTAAACCAATTACATACAAATTACATTTTGTCCAAACTACCATCTATATGTGATTTATCAAATTATAATAATAACTGAGCCCTCAAAAATTTATTTCAGAAACTGACCATAGATACATGTTTATATATACATTTTTTAAACTCTGGAAGAATGTGCCAACCTATTAATAGTGGTTAACTCCAAGGAAAGGAGTTATGTGAGGACGAAGTGCAAGGATCTTTTATTTCAATTTTAAATACTTCTGTATCATCTAAATTATTTCATAAGCATGCAGTCCTTATAATTTAAAACAAGATTCTTATTTCACAAAAACAAAGAAATATACAAATGGATGAAACTAATCAGCCCTCTTCTAACAAAAGATAATAGTCTTGATGCTGTAAGTATTTTTCCAAAGAATAAAGGTTACAACTAATACCACCTTCATTAAAACCACTTTTAATACAATTTCCAAATATATGCTGCTCAATTTTCTTAAGACGGAAGACGCCAATGATAAATACTCCAATATCGTTAAACAATGATAAGAACTATAGTATATTGTTAAGTAGGGAAGAGGTAAAAGGCTACAAAACAATATGATAAAGAGAAAGAAGTGTACCTGTTATTATTTTTGCGTGGTTGCGATTATGTTTGTTTGTATTTTAGAGATGTTTTGTATTCATTTTGCTTATTTGTATTTTAGACATGTTAAAAAATTATTTATTTTTCTTTGTAATCACAGAATTTTACAAAAGGGAAACAAACAAAAGGCATAGAGGATGGGAGATAAGGTATCTTCATTTTACCATCTGGCTATAAGGTTTTACATAGATACTGAAAAAGAATATTCCACATTTAATGAGAAAAGAATAATGTATACTGATGGATTCAAAAGTCTACTTCTATTGTTATTCATCCATACTTTTTTCTCGAAAGAGTAGCTTACAAGAATATTTAAAATATTAGAAAAAATAGCTGGCCATTCTTTTTGTTGTTGTTGTTAAATGTCTTTAGAGTATAATAAAACCACATAAATATGTGTTAAGTAGGGCCCAAAAAATTCAATCAAGTAAAATGAAGAAGAGAGTTATACAGAAAAGTAATTGAAATGATGGAGCATCTTACATATGCCAGCAGGCCAAAGGACTGGCTACAAGATCTAAGTCCACCCAGACCCCACCTGAAGATGGGTGTCACCTGAAACTGGACAATCTAGCTCAAATACTAATGAAGCAATGGCTAGTACTAGGTAGGTATGAAAAAACTCATAAAAATGAGAGCTGTCTTGGTCATTACAATGTCTGTAAGTGGAGTAAATAAAGAGAGAATAACGAGAGGAAATAATTTGAAAATCACAAAGAAGCAGAAAAACAGGTTTTAGGGATATTGTCAATTTGCCCTCAGACTCCATTCTCTCATCCTCTTACTTAGTGTGCTTTCTTCAACTACAGAAACTAAAAAGATTTAAAAAAAAAGATTAAAAAAAAAAAACTATCTTCCCTATTCACTTGCAGTTAGGGTTCTGGATAAAAAATCTAGATTACACCAATTGGATGCACTAACATGAGATTTGCAAGGCAGAAGCAAGGGGGAAGTCATCATCCTGCTGCCTTTCGCTGTTTTCTCCAGCATGGCTGAACAGATGTAAGCTGTTTCACAGCAACACTCCAATATCCAATTTCCAGCTTCAGGGATGTCAAGAGGTAGAGCAGAAGTGGCAACTAGCCTCTGCATTCCAATGCCCACGCATAGTTCAGTGGCAGTTACCTAATCCTGGTTTCCTGTTTCCTGGACTGCAGCTACAGAGGTATGTTCTTGAACACAGTAGTTCTAAAAGCAGCCTTCCTAACTGTGGCAGAGGGAGTGGCTTCCCTGGCTGGTCAGTCCAGCAATGATCTGGGAGTCATTTCAGAAGGCTGAGCTAGAGATCCCTCCTCCAGTCCTTCCACTGATTTTTTTAAGAACCTAATCCCCTGTATTAAATTCCTTCTCTGAAAATATCTAGAATGTTTACTGTTTCATGACTGACAACTAAACCCAAAGGGCAAGAACAGACACTCATTTAGGAATAGCAACAACTTACAGCTCTTCATAATTTATCGATTGTAATTCAAGCAATAGAAAAGCAAAAAACCAAGCCAAGGTGGGTTTTTTCCCCCACCCATAAATGAGATAATTAGAGTTCTGAGAAATGAAGCACAACATTCTAAGAATAGAGAAATGGTGCACAGGCTTCAAATTTAAGTCTTCTAAACTCTTAAATTCAGTGATCTTTCTACCTTATTAGCAGTTCTGCGAGTATGGCCCACTGATCTCTGAGGTCCTGTGGCCCTTTGAAAAAAGTGTGTGTGGTGGGGGGTGGGAGGGTCCTTAAGTAAAAAATTATACTTAAAATAATACTGAGATGTTACCTGCCTTTTCTACTGTGGTCACATTTGCACTAATGATGCAAAACGATAGGGGGTAAAACTGCTGCATCTTAACGCAAATCAAGGCAGCAGCTCCAAGTTGTATGAGTAATTAATTGTATTACTCACAAATATGTGTGCTCACTGTATTAAAAAAAACCACTTTTTCTTTTAGCATCATGTCTTTAATGAAAAGATAAAAACTTATTTTACTAAATCACAAACCTTGATTTATGTGGGGTTTTTTTTAATTCTATATGACAAAATAGGAAGTATGCATAAAGTACTTCTGCTGCATATCCAAAGCATGCTGTTGCTAAAGAAAAAAATGCTAACTACTGCAACATTTGAGTTACAAGCTGAACTGATTTTTTTACAGAACACCATTTTACTGAAAAGAACAACTGACAAACTACAAACTATGATTATTCAGACTTCAGTATTTGGCAGATGTTTTCTCAAAAATAAAAAAAAGTAAGGCTATCACTTTAAGGAAAACAAATGAAAGTATTTGCTGACAACAATTAATATGGAATTTTCAAGCGGAAATAAGAACTTTGAAAAACTTGTTTCTACCACTGTGGGTTGATATCTTCCCAATACTGAAAATCTTTTTTAGTGAAATCAGTGGCAATATTAACAAATACAATTTTTTCTTATATAGTAGATATTCTTCCAACATTTAGAAGGAAATCTTTTCAAATTACCAATGCACAGTGTTGCAAAATCATGCATGGGTAAAAGATCCATTCAAAGAGCAAAATAGATTAATGGATTTTAATGTAATACAGCAGGTAGAGGTCATTGATACCACCGTAGAATTACTGATGTGATTTCAGATTCCATATTGCAGCTAATCTTTAAGAAATTACCATTCATTAAGTTTTTGGTATAGTATTGAGAGAATATCTGTTATTATCTGAATGATCAGTTAAAATAACTCCTTCCTTCCTTTTCTAACTTTATATCTATGTTAAGCCAGATTTTTTTCACAAATTTCAACCAAAATAATTATTGCAAAGAATGCAAACCTTCAGAAGATTTGATACTCTAGCCCTCTCTTAATATGGCAGACATTAGAAATTTGCAACAATATAAAACGATGTACTCTTCTTACTAATTTAGTTTCAGAAAATATATTTTTCATAAATAAAAATGTTATTTATGCAAACATGTAACAGATATTTTAATATGAATTATATGAATTAATAAATATCCTAAAGCTTTCTCAGTTTTAATCTCCAATACAGTAAATATCTTATATAGAGAAAAGCTCAAGGTCCTCAATAATTTTTCTGAATAAAAGGGGTCCTGAGATCAAAAATACAAGAACCACTATATACTCTATATTTTTAGACATAAATGTTTTATAAAACAAATCATAACTGAAGATTGTTTTCTTTGGCTTTCCACAACATGATAAAAAAAAAAATTTGAATTGGCAAAAGATAAAGATCAGGAGACTGTAAGTGAGTAATAACAGATATTTCCTCCTTCCTTCTTGGGGTGGAGGGGAACCTCAGAAGAGCTGGCCACATGATTCCTGCATGGCAATAATCACTGTGACAAAGCTAGAGTGTCTTAGTAGTAGTAGTAGCTCTCTTTAAATAGAATATTCACTTACCATTTTGTCCCCACCCCCAACACTTTCTATTGTCTCACACTTGGCCAGCCACACACATTGACATTACCTGCCTAGCCCTTGCAACATAGAAAACATAAAAAAATTCTTGTACCTTACATGGGTGTAAAAGGATAAAGCTGCTTGTGGCTAGACTGACCACAGTCAATGGCTCCACCACCTACCCTAGCCTCTTTCAGCATCTCCAATAGTTGAGGAGTTCAGTATATAGGCACAACTGTATCCCAGTTGGGGATTTGAGCCTAGAACTTCTATGATGGAAGAATAGTAATCTTTAATGCTAGAAAGGTTGGTTGAGACCAGAGACTAAGAGTCCTTAACTGAAAAGCCAGGAGAAGAAATGGAGGAGGTTTATTTATCATCTGTAATTTCACAATGACATTCCCATTACTCCATAAAGCTGCTTCTTTCCATAGGATATTTTAGAACAACACAGCAATCCTGAAAGAAGAATATTGTAACCTACTCACATACCAAATTCATATGATTTTTAAGACCAGATATTGAGAAAGTATTAGTAAAATGTTATTTCAATAGTGGTTAAACCCGAATTTCTTATTTTTCTGAATGTAGAGAAATAATAATTTGCATAAAA